AGCATCTCTGGGCTGCGCAGCCCCCGGCAGCCAGCCCGACCGCAGGCGGGGGGCAGAGGGGCACCCGCGGTTTGGCCCTTGGCCCCGTTTTCGGGGTGGGGGCGGCCTCCTTGGAGATGTGGGGAGACGCCGGTGCCCGCTCCTCCCGCCGGGCCCCGCGCAGCGCCCGCGAGCCGGCTGGGGGGGTTGGGCAGCATCTGGGGGGTTTGCCATGAAGGGGGGGAGCCCCGCATCTCCCGCCGGGGTCTCGTGCAGAGCCGCGGGATGAAAACATCACAGCCCCCAAACCCCTACTATTGCTGGGGACTGTTAAAATTCTCCTCCTCATGTGGCCGGCACTGGGCGTCAGTGGCAGGCTGCCCCTTCCCAAAGATTGGTGTCAGGAGGAGACTGTGTGTGGAGGCTGCGGGCCCTGCTCCATGCAGGAACGGAAGCCGGGTGGAAGCCAGCTATGGACTGGTTACGCACTTTCAGGTGCTAGCTTGGTAGCTGGTTGGCTCTCCTTAAAGCTGGAGACTTACCAAAAAAAACTAGAACTCTTAGTTCCAAAATAATACCTTTTGTTAGACCAACTGGAGCTGGAGACTCATTTTTATGGTGTGAGAATTGCTTTGTGTGTGTGGTGGGTTTAAATTTGTTGTGCAGTTAAGCAGTGAATTACATAATATATGTAATGTGTAGCAGGGGTCAGTGTTGCAGTGTAAGCTTCCCCCCCCCATATGCAGGTAAAGGTGCAATGGGATCTAATGCGTGATGCATACAAACCTGTCTCCTACCGTGCCATGTGTGTATGGCAGGAGGCAAGATTGAGGGATCATGCATTAGATCCCATTGTGCCTGATCACTGGTTTAGGAGGAGCTTAATCTTAGGCTCACTTGAGGGTCTCCCAGAGCTGGGGAATCACAGCAGCTGCAATCCTCAGGGGTTGCGGGGGTATGAAACTCCCAAGCCCTGGGGATCAAAGCAGCCTTCATCTCCAAGGCCTGGGAGTTTCACTCTGGGCATGGTGCATCCCTGAGGCTGGGAGCTCTGTCAGCAGACAGTGCTCTGGGTGGCAGGGGAGACCCTGCTACACCTGCCAATTAAAGCTTGGTCACAGCCAGCTATAAAGTTAGTATGCGTTTTCAGTGTCTAACTTTATAGCTGTTTGGAGCTTTTTATTGGAGGGTAGCCACTTTGCACATGTAGCTGGTATTAAGGTAGTAGGACAATTAAGCAGTTAATTACACAGTACCTGTAGGGTATAGAGGGGGCCTAGGTTTCATAGACTGGGTCAGATGCCAGCATCCATCATTTCAATGTCAATTTTTCTTACCTTTAAGATAGATTCCTCCTCCCCCAAAGAAATTAAAAGCTTAAAGTTGACATATTTGGTGACTTCTAAAATGCATATGATTGACTTCACACACTTTTTATGGTAGAACTAGAAAACCTTATCATGTAAATGACACAAATATTCAACATGACCACCCATTGTATCAGACCAAGTCTCTTTTAAAAGTGCAGAAATATCTGGAAACCAGTAGAATTCCATTTTTACACCTAACTTTGTTTAAGTGCTCAGATCAAATTTGAATGATGATGACAAGTACCTTGTAAGGCTTCCTTTGAATTTAAACTAACCGAAACCAGGGAGAGGTTAGCTGTGTTTATCTTCAGCTAGGCAGGAGGCAGAGCCAGGGTGGCATCGTTATGAATTGACTTGTTCAGAGCGTCATGAGCTTTTGCAGGCTGTTGCCTACTTCACCAGATGTTGACGAAGTAGGCTGTACTCTACAAAAGCTCATGCCTCTGAACATGTTAGTTTATAAGGCACTGGTCCTCCATCAGGCAGAAGGCACAGGAAGATAGGAATATTTTGCCTAACCCCCACCCCCCCCCCCCCACCCCAAAATACTGCCATACCTTCAAGTGCAGCATCTCTATAGAAAGACATTATTTCAATTTATGTTGTTTTAGAAATTGCAGCTTTTATGCAGGGATTGAAAGAGGATATCTACTTGATAATATGAAGTAAGAGCTATATCCTCATTAGTGAAGTAAAACAGCTGTGTCTTATGGAGAAGCTCAGGACCTACATGCTCTTTTTTTTCTTTAGCACTCTCCCCTTTCCACTGGCATACATTCCCTAAATTTTGCTTGTGTTCCTTCCTTGATACTGGCCACCACACTGTTTGCTGAAAGGGAGAAGACTGTATGTACTTGTATGCCAATCTTTTTCCCAGTCCTAACATGCATAGTTCAGGGAAGGCTCCTCTACTGTATACCTTCAGCAGCCCTC